AGTAATCAAACTGACAGTCTCGATCCTTCTAAGAGGTTAGTGTGTCCAAACCTTGAAGGAAAGGAAAAGGGAAAACAGTCCTTGTTAAGTCAAAAACAACCAAACATGTAGGCCTAAAGGCAGTTTACCGGTTATGGAAAGCAAACAAGGATAGCATGGAAAAGGCCACACCAAGTAAATTTTATGGATGACGTCCGCGCGCGCATTGATTTTGGCCTGTTCCTAGAAAAAAACAAGAAATTCCGCTTCCTGTAACTATAAATATACTCACCACCAAATAATGGCCGTTGTGAACGTGTTGGCATTAGCACATCAAAACATGAAAGTTACTCACTTGTGTCTCTAACAACACACTCTCCCTGGTAATAACTTTTAGCAGTGCATTTCTATAATTGGGCAGTTTAACTACACCTTAGTAATGCAGAAGGAAAACATATTGTTTTTGCTCTGTTTCTTCTTCTCTTCCAAACACACAAGGTCAATGACCTGGGCCAGGTGACTGTGGTCACCGTGGTAACTGGTGCTGTGGCAGACACCCTGTGGTGTCTGGTTATATTTATGTATTAAGTGACAGGACAGAGTTGTAGGGATTGGTCAGTGCTCACCATTCATGGTCACCATATACTAGTATATGAATTGTGTTTTAGTAAGAAGAAACAGAGTTACCGTAGTAGTTTGTTGGGCTAGACCATGTGAAGGTAAACATTATGCATTTGCAAAAGGATATGTCTCCTCTCATACTTACAGTATCGTCTCTATCAAATGTCCAGTCCTGATCAATGAATGAATGAAAGACCTTTATTGTACGTTTGTGCTCTAACAAGCTTTTAGGCCCCCTAACGGCTTGTTATGGTACTGCAGCTGAACTGCAGTTTTGATATCTCATGACATAGACATGCTAGTTTTACTATGCAGTTGTCAAGCAAGTTTGCTGAGTTCACATGCAGGACACTTCAAGATTTCACCAAGTCACAATTACACACAAATCATCACACTTCCTGTGAGGAAGTTACTTGCAAAAACACATCCATCTTTTCTGACACCTTTTGTAAACTGCATTCTGCAGAATGGACAGTGGCCAAAATTTACAACAAGCTTGAGTAATCAAACTGACAGTCTCGATCCTTCTAAGAGGTTAGTGTGTCCAAACCTTGAAGGAAAGGAAAAGGGAAAACAGTCCTTGTTAAGTCAAAAACAACCAAGCTGAATTTGGCACAAGCTACTAGTGTTTATACAACAAAATACATTCTTTCCATAGTTCTGTTTCAAAGTTTCTTGCATAGATAAAAGATGATGAGATGTACACACACATCTCATCATCTTTTATCTATGCAAGAAACTTTGAACCAGAACTATGGAAAGAATGTATTTTGTTGTATCATCATCAAGAATGTATTTTGTTGTATCATCATCTTTTATCTATCTCTCAATCTTAATCTAATTCCTTGACCATTGGGGCATCCCAGAAGATCTGACAACCAGTTTTCTCCACCCTTCTCGGTTTTCTGCTCTTCTTATCATTTCACCTGGTGTCATACCTGTGATCTCTTCTGTGATATTCAATTGTGCATTTCATCCTTTCAATTCAAACAGTCAATTTTCCCAACTTTGCTGCTTACCATCTCAGGGTTATGAGTCTTTGCATTCACTTTTTGGGTCATACTGTATGCACAATCTAGACAAAATTGATTCCATTTGCAACTGCCCTGTTAAGTTTTGAGACAATCTATGGGCGTATGGCCCAACCAGGAGCAATTTCTGTATAATTGCACGCGATCAGAACATGGTACAACATGTGATCACCCTTTCAGTACTACATAAACAATGAAAGCCCTTTGTGGATGGGGAAAGCAATCAGGAGATTGTTTGATTTGCAGAATGGTACTCATGAAGGTGAAATGAGTTCACCAACAGTAACACATCAGTTAACCTTTCAATACATAGTTTCTGGATACATACCTGTTCAAGTATAGATTCCGTTAGTCACTGACAAAATGCAGTGGATGCTACTTGAAATGTCTGACAGTTTTCAAAATCTATCCAGTTGCTTGAGTAACTGTGTATCTCATTACCTGGATGTCTCACCTCTTTTGACATGGTTAACCCTCAGCTTGCTACTAGGTATATGGTAATATGTCACATGTAACCTTGGGCATTTGGATTCCATGAAGCACTTTAGTTTAATCCCTTAATATGAATAAACTTAGAGTGTTCAGATCTGCCGTCACACATGCAATCTGAAAGATAGTGGGGAAAAAAACTCACATCAGCATGTATTTTATTCTACCCATACCATACCCTGTACACAACAGTTATCTTACCAGTGCATCGTAGAGCCTTTTGTGTACTTTTAACCGGTGCACAACATTTACTATCTGCTTTGCTTACACTTAACATTTTACTTTTAGAAAGCAACAATACTGGAACCCTACCAGTAATAAGGATCGATCACAAAGTACAGTTAGTGATAAGCTCTGGCATTTAGATTCTTGAAGGCTTAACAACAATGAAGTTCTGACATCGCCCCTTAGTTTGTAACCTATCCACAGTCAGAAGTTCAGAACACAAGAACGTGCATATGGCTCTCCCATGTGACCTCACCATTCAGCACACTCAGGCAAGTCTCATTACTTCAAAATGCAGATCAAGATGCTATCACTTTGTCTAATTTATCCGCCATTCCAACTGGCAAAACCTTTCAAAGTTAATGGAACAGAGTAGTTTTTCAAATTGGAAGGGGCAAATCGCATAAGCCATGTTTAAAGAAGACATGCAAATGATCAAAATTGCTGATATATCAGTTTAGGGAGAGATCCTAATGCATTCAAGATATGCAGAGGATCAAAATTCCAGACCTATCAATTTGGTAAAGGCTACAAATAGATTCTGCATGCTCTTCCCTTGATTGAGTTACTTCTGAGAAATTTTCATGACCCAATTGCAAGATTTTAAGCCTTCAAACAACGAAAATTACAGGCCTACGTATCAAACATTTCCAAACCATGTGTGACCCCCATCTACAAAATGTATAGGTCACTACAAAGGTGGCAAGGGAGTCTTGTGGCTATAGGGTTGTTGACTTCAAATCTTAAAGTTCTGGGTTCAAATCCCTGGCAGGCCCCAGTGTTGTGTCCTAATGGCAATGGCACTTAACACCTACTTCTTCACTTGACCCAGGTGAAAATGAGTTCATAGTTTAGGGATGTCCTCTTAGATTGTCCTCTTAGCCAGAGGTCCTGTACATGTGTTTGAGGAAAGCCACACCTCGAGCATGTTTAAGATCCCACCACATGTACATGTAGGCCTAAAGGCAGTTTACCGGTTATGGAAAGCAAACAAGGATAGCATGGAAAAGGCCACACCAAGTAAATTTTATGGATGACGTCCGCGCGCGCATTGATTTTGGCCTGTTCCTAGAAAAAAACAAGAAATTCCGCTTCCTGTAACTATAAATATACTCACCACCAAATAATGGCCGTTGTGAACGTGTTGGCATTAGCACATCAAAACATGAAAGTTACTCACTTGTGTCTCTAACAACACACTCTCCCTGGTAATAACTTTTAGCAGTGCATTTCTATAATTGGGCAGTTTAACTACACCTTAGTAATGCAGAAGGAAAACATATTGTTTTTGCTCTGTTTCTTCTTCTCTTCCAAACACACAAGGTCAATGACCTGGGCCAGGTGACTGTGGTCACCGTGGTAACTGGTGCTGTGGCAGACACCCTGTGGTGTCTGGTTATATTTAATAAGTATTAAGTGACAGGACAGAGTTGTAGGGATTGGTCAGTGCTCACCATTCATGGTCACCATATACTAGTATATGAATTGTGTTTTAGTAAGAAGAAACAGAGTTACCGTAGTAGTTTGTTGGGCTAGACCATGTGAAGGTAAACATTATGCATTTGCAAAAGGATATGTCTCCTCTCATACTTACAGTATCGTCTCTATCAAATGTCCAGTCCTGATCAATGAATGAATGAAAGACCTTTATTGTACGTTTGTGCTCTAACAAGCTAAGTACAGGTCATGAATAGGCAAGGAAAAAGGATACAGCAAAGATACTTAAACTTAATACATACTAATGTGATCTATTCCATAGTGGATTATTGCAACATGTTTTTAAATGCTGCCACTGAAGGTGCTTTTCTTACATATGGTGGTAGATTATTCCATGTCATTGCACCTGAATATGCTATTGGTTCCCGGTATACTGTATATATAGAATACAACACAGTGTATTCCGTATCACCCGAGGTACCAGCCCGACTGCGCGTCGGATAGTCCGACGGCTGGAGGGAGATCCAATCCGCGGGAGGGCTGGGACCGAAGGTGATGCGAAA